ATTAACCGTGCTAAAATCTGGTGTCAACACATGCCCCCCTGTTTTTCGGCAAAGTTTGTGTGCCGAAAAATAACTTCCGCATAGCTTGTTCTAAGGACGATGTCAACACTCCATCGGCCATTTTGCATATTCTTAAGACGATAAGTATATATCGGCCATTTAGATTAGCAACAAAAGTGAAGCTAATCGAACATATAATGATTTGGTAATACCCTTTCATGATGTAAGAAATTATATTTTATCCATGGATTAAAATAAGTCCATTGAGGGTAACCAACCATAGCTGATGAAGAATTCCATGGCATAGGCATCAAAGGCATTGTTGAAGAAAATGGATAATGTGTGGACCGAAGATGTTGAAACCTTCGGCTTGGTCCTTCGTAGCTTTCACTCTTTTCCTTCTTCACCTTTGTCGCACTCCTTGTAAAGGAAGCTCGCACATAATTCTTATTTTGAATATTTACTTTGGGAACCCACGCCATATTTCTCTTTTCAAGTTCTTGTGCACTAAGCTTCCGCAACTCCTTCTTTTGCCAATACGATAAGTCGAGTGGGCATCCCAGCTGCAATTTTATTTGAAGTAATGGCAATTCTTGTTTTACCTTGTGCACTCTCAACTTCTTCCCTTCAGATTTGGCACTTGATTGACTTGCCTCGTTGCCTTTTGTAGCCAATGTCAACACTTTAATTGGCTCTTTTTCATTTGAGATCATATCTGAAGTGGCACTCTTACGACCATCTCTTTTGATGCGGTAGATTTGCTCGACCACCTCCTTATTCTTCCTTGTGCACCAGATCGATTCTTTATGATTGAAACGGTCTTTGACGCGTGATTGTTCAAATGTTGATCTCCTTGGAGCTGCATAGTATTGGTGAGATGGTCTAGAATAAGATGGAGAATGTGCCCTTGTATCATACCTGTCCCATGATGAATATGTATCTATATGAGCATAGGGAGGCATCCACGGCATTGGCATTGGCGGCCCAAAATAAGGATATGAATATGTTGCATTAAAATTATCACTTTGCCAATACCAATCCTCATATTTGCGCCTTGGAGGTGATCTTGGTTTCTTTGCATGATTTGGCCGATAAGCATTCTTCTCTTCACTCTTCTTTTGATATTTATCCAATAGTTCAGCGAAGGTGATTTTTGATCTCTTACACTTGCGCTTATTTCGGCCTTTGTTTCCTTTGGTTGTGCTTGCACCAATCATTGGATTTGCTTGCTGCCCCCAGTCCTTGGCGTCTCCATTGTAGCTTCGATGGAATTCTCGCCCTTAAAATTATATTCATTATGCTCTTCAACAACTTCTTTACTTGAAAGCTTGACCCCATCACCTGCAGTTTTTACCTCCTCTTTAAATGAATCGGCTTGAAGCAGCCGATGCAAAAACTTTCTACCGTCGAGACCAATCGGAATAGACTGGTCATCTCTTGGTGTCTCAACAAATTTCAATCGTCCTTTTTCAATGGCCGATTTAACTATTTGACGAAACATATTGCAATCCTCAAAATTATGTTTGAACGAATGATGCAACCTACAATACATTCGTCCTTGAACTGATGGCTTGACATGGTGATCAAGAATTCTTATGTAATTATTTTTCAGCAATAAATCAAATATTTGGTCACACATGCTTGAATTGAAGGTAAACTTCTTGCTTTCTAGCCGATCTTGCTGTGTGAACGGCTTTGAAGATAAGCAAACGAATGGTTCAGATTTAGAATCTTCCCATTCGGCTATACATTGTGTTTTCCACTCTATCTCCGGTGTCTTTGGATAAGATATTATATTAGCATCGGATTTCTCAAAAGAAATTAACCTTGGCTTTAAACTTTCGATACGAAAATATTTAGAACACACATGTCTCAATTGAGACAAAGTGCAAGCCAAGTAAGAAATAAGCAAAGCTACCCAACTAGATATGAACTTTAGATAAAGCAACGGGGAAAGCTTTGGCCACAACAATAAGTCATTATCGGTCTTTATAAATGGTGCAATGGGTTGACCGATATAGTCTATAACAATTTTGTTGCTAACAAGTAAATTACCCTTCTTCATTGGTCTTTCAAAATTACTTATTAGAATTTTTCTTATAGAAGCATCGACAATAAAGTTGCGACCAAATCGGAAGATAGGCAAGTCACTTGCTAGACATACCTCTTCACTTACGTTGGGAGAGCATGATGGTTGTATCACTTGAATAATACTTTGTTCCACTTTTGAATGACTCTCCAATGCCTTGGCATCCTCTTTTTCTTTTTCTTTGATAGATTCGGTACACATATTATTTGATTCGGCTTTTTTAATAACCGAATTAACTTTGTTATCCGAATCACCGCTCTTTCTTTCTTTGATTTGCAAGGTTGCTTGTTCTTGTCTAAATTCAGCAAACATTGTAGCTAGTCTATCTTTAAGCTTTTTTCGACCAATTTCAGCCCAATCTTCATCGGATTGTCCCCCAATACTTTGAGACGCTTTCGGCAATGGTGTGTTGCCGAATTTCTGTAATTGTGCAGGGGCAACATGATATGCTACTTTACTAGGTAAAGACACATGCGCTCTGGTAGAATTCTCACTTATTCGGCCATGAGCATGAAGGTGCGGAGCCGAATCACGAATATCTACAATTGCGTATGGTGCCGAAAAATTCGTAGCATGAGGTGTAGCATACGATGTTTGAGGGTAATTGGCCGAATAACAAGTAGTGGCATGGCCAATTCCCCTATCCACCGGCACGTTTGGATTAACATACTGCAAGTTATTTGCCGATGAATAAAAAGTCGAAACACTTTGTTGCATACTATTGGAAGTTCCTATATGGGGTGTCTCAACATGATTAACCGAACTCCTCATGTTGTTCATCGGCATATAGATTTGTGGGGTTGCCGATGCATGGGAGTTGGGATACATATGTTGCATGTTGCTAAAATTATATGAAGTTGAAGCATGAAGATTATTCTGAATCGGCTGTTGCACATAATTAGATGCATGATTGATAAAACTAGGGCTAGCCGATACAATATACTCATTAGACGATCTAGCAACAACATATGTATTATTTGCATCTACATAAGTGAATTGGGTATTCATGTTACCTTTGTAGATTGCAAACCCTAGATGACGATCTCTTCGTAGCAAGAACGGGCTGGAGATCGTTCAAAGCTTCGTCCCCAGCGGAGTCGCCAAAAAGTGTGTTCACACACGAACACGTCGCCGTGTACCCTCGACACCGGGGGTGATGCACCGCAGCTCACGTCGAAGGAGACCCGCCGGAAGCGCGGTACACCAGACAATCCGGCGGGCGCTTTTGTAGACCCGAAACCCCACACGCCCGGGAGGGACCCCGTTAGGACGCGTGGAGGCTATGGGCTGCCCTAGGTCGACCTGATCGCCCCTAGGGCCTCGAGATTCGCCGCCCTGCAACAAGAAGAACAGACGAAGAACGAGGAAGAAGAACTAGGGTTAAGGAGAAAAGATAAAAGATAAAAGTGGTAGATGATTGTTCGATTGTGTGTTGTTCAATCGGCCGTCACCCTTTAGGTATATAAGAGGCGGCTGGACTTCCCGTGCAAGGAAAAGGCTTGGATTCACGTCCAAAACCCTAGTCAAATTCGGATTGGTTTTGTCCGAACTTTCCAAAACTGTTCGGTTTAAACTTGCTGCATCTTGTGGGTTTTTTTTGTGGTGGTAAAAGATCTCGGATGGAAACGAGCCAAAAACAATCTTGACCGTTTTGACGAGACGAGCAACTTTTATGTTGAACGTTTTTTGATCAGAAGTCATCTTGAGGGTCAAATCGGTCGCGCAAAACAGGCTATCCTCGCGCTACCCATCAGACAGGCTGTCTGGTGGGGCGCGCCAGTTTTTTGCCTCCTGACAGGGCTGTATTCCGATGGCTCTAACTTTTGCATACGAACTCGGATTGGAACGATTTTTATATCAAAATCGACCTTTTCGACGAGACAAAGACAATCCATGTAGATAATATTTCCATTTAAGGTCGTCTTGGGGGCTTAATCAGCCAAACTGTACTCTGAATATAAGATCTTAGTACTTTGAGCATAGTTTCGGCCTTCGAGATGAAATCGGACTGCGATGACCCAAACTTCAAAGATGTTCATATCGATAATACAGAACTCTTTCATGAAGATCACTTCTCCATTTGACGCTATTTTAAATAAGTTATTGACCGTGCCAAAATCTGGTGTCAACAACCGCCACAACGCGGCGCCACTCATTGAACCACCGTCGACACGCGCTGCCACTTGCCGTCGTGCCTCCCTGAGCCGCGTCGTTGCTCGCCCCTGTGACTGACGCTGGCCCTAAGCCGTTTGTATGCTTGTTTAATGGAAAATGGGAAAAAATAATTTTGGAGAAAGGAACTGAGAAAAGTAGGTGTGAGACAACTCACCCTAAATTATACAGACATCCCGTAAAACGATTGGTTTCGGGAAGTTATTGCAGTTGCTCTAACCAACCATTATTTGGTTCTTTTTATGAAACTGTTGTCAGTTTGAACATAGGGCCCCAAATCCAAACGGTTTTTACACTCTCCAGGTGAATAATAGTAGACGAGTCAACACTCGCAAAAAAGAAGAAGACGAGTCGAGAGATTAGACTTAAGGGGGAAGTGAAGTGTTTTTAAACGGTCAGGATTGCATCTTTGGAACCGTACGGAGAAAATTGCGGGGTGTAGTATGCTGTCGCGGTCGCGAGTTTACTTCTCATCATCGTTGCAATCGGACGTATGAATTGTCGATCGAGGTTGATCGATCTCTCCGGAAACCGACCAAGTAGCTTACGTGATCAGTGACCGCACCTCTCGTACATATGCCGTGTGCGCCGTTCGTCTCGTTAAGATCTTAGGTCCTCACGCTCACGCCGGCAGATTTGTTACATCTGGACGGCGTCGCCACTTGCACTCCCACGCTGCAACATAGCTGCCTCCACTCCTCCACACACTAGCGCCGCTGTCCAGCTGATTTGCTTCGAGATGGACATGTGCATGGGCATGGCCAAGCTGCTGCTGCTGCTGCTGCTCCTCGTGGTCACCGCCAGCCACGGCCACGCGGCGGCGGCGGCGGCGGGGAAGGAGAGGAACACGATCACGCACGTCAAGGGGTTCGACGGCCCGCTGCCCTTCGCCCTGGAGACCGGGTACGTGGAGGTGGACGAGGCGCACGGCGCCGAGCTCTTCTACTACTTCATCCAGTCGGAGCGCAGCCCGCGGGAGGACCCGCTCATCCTCTGGATCACCGGCGGCCCCGGCTGCTCCGCGCTCTCGGGCCTCCTCTTCGAGATCGGGCCCCTCAAGTTCGACGTGGCGGGGTACACCGAGGGCTTCCCGCGCCTCGTCTACTTCGAGGACTCGTGGACCCGGGTCAGCAACGTCATCTTCCTCGACGCGCCCGTGGGCACCGGCTTCTCCTATGCGCGCGACGAGGAGGGCCTCGACGTCAGCCTCACCGGCACCGGCACGCACCTCCGGGTGTTCCTGCAGCGGTGGATCGCTGATCACCCTGAGTTCGCCTCCAACCCACTCTACATCGGCGGCGACTCCTACTCCGGGTACACCGTCCCGGTCGCCGCGCTCGAGATCGCCGACCAGCCGGATAAGGGAGGGCTGAACCTCAAGGGGTACCTGGTGGGCAACGCCGGCACCGACGACAAGTACGACTCCGGCGGCAAGGTCCCCTTCATGCACGGCATGGGGCTCATCTCCGACGAGCTCTACGAGGCGGCGAAGGGCAGCTGCGGCGGGGACTTCGTGACGACGCCCAGGAACGTGCAGTGCGCCAACGCGCTCATGGCGATCACCATGGCCACCTTCGCCGTCAACCCGGTGCACATCCTCGAGCCCATGTGCGGCCTGGCGCTGCGCCCTCCGACGACCCCAATCAGCAGCATCCTCTCCACGGGCACGAGGAGAAGGTCGGCGAGGCTGCTGGTGCAGGAGGCGGACCGGCTGGCGCTCCCGGTGGAGTGCCGGGACAACGGGTACCGGCTGTCCTACACCTGGGCGGACGACGCGGAGGTGAGGGCGACGCTGGGCATCCGGGAGGGGTCGGTCGGCGCGTGGAGCCGGTGCGTCACGCTGACGCACTTCCGGCACGACGTGTACAGCACCGTGCCCTACCACGCCAACCTGACGCGGCGCGGCTACCGCGCGCTGGTGTACAACGGCGACCACGACCTGGACATGACCTTCGTGGGCACGCAGGCGTGGATCCGGACGCTGGGGTACCCCGCGGTGGCGCCGTGGCGGCCGTGGTACGCCAACCGGCAGGTCGCCGGGTTCACGACGGAGTACGCCCACAACCTCACCTTCGCCACCGTCAAGGGCGGCGGCCACACCGCGCCCGAGTACCGCCCCAAGGAGTGCCTCGCCATGCTCGACAGGTGGACCTCCGCCGACGGCAGGCTCTGAGCCTGTGATCCGACTCGCCACTCCGTTGCCATCGGTCGGAGTACTATATACATACTGCCTACGAGTACAAATGAGTGTACTGTATGTATATTTCGATTTGGAACAGGGCTAGCTGTTCACATCATTGCATGTACGGTGTCGTACTATTGATTGAAGTGCCATGCACACGAGAGGACGAAGACATAAATAAAAGTCAGAAAAAACCTGGAGAGTTCCATGGAGTCTTTCCAAATGCATGGGGTAGCTCGAGACCACCGAGCTAGCCCTATCACGTAGTACGTCTGTACTTCTCGTCTGTACTTCTGTTCCCGTGACCGAATGGGTATGAATGAACCGATAAACTGGGATGACATTGCAGATTATGATGGTGTGCAACAGCGACGAAGACGAAGGTGACTTCTTCCCATTGTTCTCCAACTTACTGGAATTGTTTGCTGGATTCAACTAAAACGAGCAAAATTTTCAGGATATGTCCACCATTGTTTGTACTAATGAAAAATGGTTCTATTGCATGAATGGTCTTAGGTTTTACGTGACACTTGACCAAGATAATCCATTATCCACATTTAGATCCTTTCCAACACGAGCTCTTTTACTGTACCCCCTAATAGATATGGACCGTCTATTATCAAAATCCAAGGGTGGTGATCCATCCATATTGCTCAACTGCGCGAGGACCATCGCCAGCAGTATCGGTACCACTGGCCGCTCCAGGTGCAGCAGTATACTTGCCATGAGGGTGATTTAGGAAGAAAAAAAAGTCAGCCCGCCTCATGACCGAGCGAACTCGTTCTCTTCACTTGTTCTTCTCGGCTGTAAGCACGCGCCCGTCGGCTAGGATTCTAGCGGCCGCCTCGTCACTTCCATATTGTTGACCATGCTCGTGGACCGATGCTGCTACGCCGCCGGCCATGATCGTCCACCGTCAGTGCACCTGCATCGTCTTCCTTGACGAGGCCTTCTCTCCTCCCGGCTCCCCTTCCTCTCTGCCGGCGCCGCCGTTGCATCTCATCTTCTTCCGCGTCCTTACTCAGCCATGACCGTGGATTGAGCGCGATTCCAATGAGCTCCTCTTCTTCGGCAGGGCCGCACGCAACTGTCAGGCGCCATATAGCGAGGGACATTAGAGGTAGTATTTCAGAAGCCGCCAATCGATGGACTCTATCAATCAAACCAAAACAGAACATTTCCGTCGAGAAGGTGACTTATACTGACTAGGACGTGGACATACAATGAGGATGATACGAGGCGCGGCTGGAGGTTCTAGAACACCACGGCCAGGTCGACCAACGTCCGACGCTCTAGGTCAAGCACGCGGGCGGAGGCCAGTGGCGAGGGCGAGCTGTGAAGCCAGGACGTAGTGGCGAGTTCGACCACGGCGGAGCCGACTACTCGTCGAGTGGGCGGCGGGGAACAGGGCGACATCACAACCAGGAAGAACACACTAATTTCTGATGGGTTAGCGTTATTCTGGAAAAAGGAAATCTGACGAGACTGCCCTCGGGAAATCAACGGCGTAGATGATTGTATACTGCTCACTTTCATCTATAGCAGTATAGGGTACCATAAAAAAATTTCAGGATATGTCCACCATTGTTTGTACTAATGAAAAATGGTTCTATTGCATGAATGGTCTTAGGTTTTACGTGACACTTGACCAAGATAATCCATTATCCACATTTAGATCCTTTCCAACACCCAGGGCCTAAAAGAGAGTGGTACTCGCCCCTGAGGCGACTCGGGCGGCGTCGCCTCCCTCCAGCCCAGCCTCCCCTCCCACTCCCTCGTTCCTTCCGTCGTCGCCAGCAAAGCTCGCGCGGTCGACGGCCGCGGCGGGGCCCACGTCGGCGTCTGGTTCCTCCCGCGAACATGTGGTCAAGGGACTTGCCAACGGATCTCGACGCTCGGCGTAGGTGATGGGCGAGAATCACATGCTGATGGGGCGCTCGACCTGGTGCGAGTACGTGTGCAGCCTCATGTTGCTCGTGTCCGTGGGCTTACATGGTGGGCTTCGGCCTAGAGCTTTTGAGACCAGGTCGGGCAAATGGTGGTGGAGCTAAATCCAACGGATCTCGGGTAGGGGTCTCGAACTAAGAGTTTAGAGATGATAGTAATGATGACATGAGTTTTTACCTAGGTTCGGGCTCTCCTGATAGATAGAACTCTGCTCTTGCTTGTGATTTATTGAGTTTGGGTGGAGTACAAAGTAGAGATGATCTATGTCGGGGGTTGGGTGCGACATATGCCAAAGGATGGCTTATCATGGTGGGAGCGAGTAGAACGTCACCGGTGCCTGGAAGCGGGATGAGGCGTAGACACGAACGCCGGCGCACTTTATCCAGGTTTGGGGCTCTCCTAGGAGATAACACCCCTAGTCCTGCTCTGCGGGGTCTCCGCATGATCACTAAGGCACTAGTGAGTACAATGGTGCTCCTCGAGCTGTATGCTAGGGATAGAAGGAGGCAGGGCTAGCTCTCTTCCTCCTCTAGGGTGGAAGCTAGTTCTAACAGGTTGGGAACCCTTTGCATGGGCGCCCTGGGGGGTTTATATAGGCCTACCCCCCAGGGGTACAATGGTAATTTGGCCGGGTGCCGGACCCGGCTGTCAGTGTCTCTGGTCGCCGGCAGCTGGGGCCCGCCGCCTGGTGGGCCCCTCCGACTAGTCTGGTATGGAGCCGACAGGCCGGCCCCGCCGCTGGCGGGTCTGGTTGGTGGCTGATCACTATAGCCGTGACACTAATGACGCGGGCTTGGTCAGGGGAGCGTGGCTACAGTCCCGCCGCCTGGGGGAAGATCATTGTAGCAACACCTCGCCCCATCTGGTTAATGGTGCTCGGGCCTAGAGGGAGGAACTGGCCGCCTGTTGGAAATCGGCCTCCCTTAGATCCGGCTGGTCTGGCTTCCGCCGCCTTCCGAGCTCTCACTGCCCGATAGGGCCCGCCGCCTGCAGGCTGTACCAACAGGCCGTTGTGGGAACAGGGCTCCGCCTGTCAGGAATGACGTCAAGGGGGAAGTGGCAACAGTGTCGCGCCGTGCGAAGATCTCCGCCTGTACGAGGCACTGTAGCCACGCCAAGCCCAGAATTCGGGGGCGAGGGGCTACACTGTAGCCTCATCCTGTCTTGTCCTCTTGATGAGGGGCGCAGACTCTGAGGGCGCCGGGTGGCCGCCTGCTAGAAGCCGGCCTCTACGGAGGCCGCCTGCTAGGAGTCGGCCTGTCTTGGTGCCGTCTGCTGGTACTCAGCCGTCTTCGGGCAGCCGGCCGTTGAGCTAGCCGGCCACCGGAAGGCGGTGCTTCATGCTGGTGTCTCTTGGGGCGAAGCCGGCCCAAAGTATTGAAAGGCTCAGGGACTTGGGTTAGGCTACCCGTGGCCCATTACTCCGACAGTAGTCCCCCAAGACGGTGAGGCGTCGCGGTTGACGGTCCGCGAGGTTTCAGCAGCTTCCCGTCTTGCCGCGCTCTGATCGAACGCTTGGTCCGCCTTGTGACGCGCCGCTGCCGGAGCCGATTTGACAAGGCGGGCTCGTCCGCCGATTTCGAACACCAAGGCGGGAAACAGATGGCGTGCCTGCTAAGCTTCCCCAGGCCTGCCGCCCGCCACGAGCACGCCACGCGGCGCACGCCAGCCTGGCCAGCCTGCCACCCCGTGCTCTCGATGGGACGTGACAGCGGGTCAGGCCCGCCACCACTAGGCCTCGGCACGCAGGTGGATCCGCTGCGGCCGAGACGGGCGGATGCCATTCCTGCAGGAGTTACTGCGTAGTAACTCTGCGTAGTAATCAGGGGGTCGTGGGGTCACGGGCGCAGTTAATCCCACAATCCCACGTCCCGCCCCCTCGGCTTCGCAGCCCGAGGGCTATAAGTAGGGGGAGGTAGGGGAACGGCGGAGCACGCGCGCCCTCCTCCCCACTCTTTCTTCCTCCTCTCTCTCTGCTGCCTCTGCTCAGTGCCCGCCATAGCGCCACTGCACCTTGCCGTCGTCGAGCTCCTCCTCCCCGCGCAGCTCCGCCCGGACGGCATGGCGCGCGAGAAGGTAGGAGACTAGGACGGCTCGACGGTGATCGAGGATCACCTCACCTTCCTCCGGGCCACGTGCCGGATGCCCAATGCGGCCTTCGTCAAGGTGCGGGTGCCGCCGCAGGAGGAGATTTAGCCGGCGCCACAGGGAGACGAGCGGGTCGTCTTCCGCTCACATTTCCTCCGCGGCTTTGGCCTCCCGGTGAGCGGGTTTCTCTGCTCATTCATGGAGTTTAACCACATCCAGCCGCACCACTTGACGCCCAACACCATGATGCTGCTGTCCGCCTTCATCACGTCATGCGAGGGCTACCTCGGCATCCTCCCCACCATCAAGCTGTGGGGAGCCTTCTTCTACGCCAAACTAGGCACCTCCGCCAAGGAGACGGCGGCCGAGTGCGACGCCTTCGTCGCCGTGCGCCGGCCGTCGAAGAAGAATGCCTTCCCGGTCATCAAGCTGTCACAGTCGGTGAAACTGTGGCAGAAATCATATTTCTACGTGGAGAACGTCGACCCGGCGGTTGACTTCATCAACTTGCCGCCTTACGAGGCCGGCCCCCCTATTGGGCCTCGGGCCAACTGGGGCTACAAGCCAAAGCCCGTGGCGGCCGACACGGCCGCTGCCATCAGCCGGCTTGGGGTGATGACGGAGGCGGAGGGTCTCGTGGCGTTCGACCTGCTGATCGCCTTCATCAAGCGCCGGGTTCTCCCGCTCCAAAGCCGCCCTCATCTGATCTGTCGGATGAGCGGGCACCACGACCCGAGCCGGATGTGTACGAAGGAGATGCCGACTGCCGAGGTGGCCCGTATGGTGAATGAGATTACCGACCTCAAGGTGTCGGAGGGGTCCTGGCGGTTCGGGAAGCGGCCGTACTCCCATGACAACCCGCCGCCTGCCGTAAGTCTCTTAGTTTCTTCTTTTTAGTTCGTGCTTCAGTCTTGATCTTGGTATGAAGTGGTCCTTCCTTGGAGCGCAGATCTACATGTCCTCGGCGACGGCCTCCATCGTGGGGCCGGGTGGTGATTACCAGCCGGACCGGGAGGTGAGCGACGTGGACGACCCCGACTTGGGGGCGACCGCCTTGGAGGACGACGCCGTAGGCGGCGGCGATCGAGCATGCGGCTTCGAGGAAG